CTGGTCCCCACAGGCACAGTGCTGATTTTGGGTGTGTGTGTGTGTGTGTGTGTGTGTGTGTGTGTGTGTGTGTAGTGGACATGTTTTTGCTACATCATGGGGACCATTTTCCAGAAAAACGCAGCCTCGTGGGCACCAAAGCCTGGTCCCCACAGGTACAGTGCTGATTGTGGGTGGGGGGTGGGGGGTAGGTTTAGGGTAAAAGGTCAGGGTTAGGATATAGAAATGGAAAATGAATGGAAGACAATGCAAGGTCCCCACAGGGATAGAAAAAGAAACGTGTGTGTGTGCAGAGTGTGTTTGATAAGGAGGCGTCGCCGCCTGCAGCATCCGTTTGTTGACTGAGACATCCTGGATCTGAGAACAACAAGGACCTGACGGCACCAGAACCAGCATTCAGGGACTTGATGTTCTAAACATTTGGTCTTTAGATCAGAACCATCAGAACCATCAGAACCATCAGAACCATCAGAACCATCAACTCACAACATAATAATCCAGGTTTTAATGTCAGACGTTTAATAGATAAAAAACCAAAATGCTGTAAATATCTTATGTAGATTTTTGTCAACTTTATTTATTTCGCACTTTTAAAAACAACTGCTGTCGGACAAAGTGCTTCACATGTTACAACTAGAAGAAAAACAAAAAACAGGATACAAAGTTAAGAACAATAAATAATATAAACATAAAACAAAACTTTAAAATTGGAAAAAGCCAACTGTCAAGATGAATTAAAAGCTCTGWAAAACAGGTTTAAACACCAGGAGCTGAAGTCTGTCTGATGTGAAGCTGGTTCCACAGTTCAGGAACCACACCTGAGAAGGTCCGGTCACCTCTGTGGACCAGTCTGGACCGTGGGACCGCCAAGAGCAAATGATCACTGATCTAAGAGACCTGGAGGCACGTAGGGCTGCAGGAGGTCTGATAGATCCTGAGGAGTCCTGCAGGGTCTTGTAGGTCAACAATAAAAGTTTAACATCTGTTCTTAAAGAAACGGAGCCAATGGAAGCAGCACTGAGGAGAAATGATGGTGTTCAAAGATGAGCTGCAGGCGTGAGGCCAGCCTGACTAACACCAGCAGACACACACTTACAGTAATCCAGCTCAGATTAGCATGGATTACACATTCAAAATATCTGAGAGGGAAAAATGATTTAACTTTAGACAAAAGTCTAAGTTTAAAAACAATATCTTTACTACAGAACTGATCTGTTTCTCAAAGTTAAAATTTGAATCAAAGATTAGCTCCAGATTTTTACAGACGGCTCTAAGATCTACAGGGAAACCCTGATTAACTCTGGGTCCAGAAATAACAACTTGAAAAAGTTAGAATCCATCCAAGTTCTGACCTCAGTGATGCAGTCAAAGAGCGGTTTAAATGAAGAATTATAGTGCTTCAAGTTAAAATAGATCTGGGTGTCATCTGCGTATGTTAAATGTTCTAAAAATAGAGCCTAAGGGGAGCTTGTTTATGGAAAATAAAATGGGACCAAGAATGGAACCCTGGGGAACCCCAGATGTGAGGGGGGCTGAGGAGGAAACAGAATCTCCCAGGCCAGACAGATAAAACCTGAACCAATCCAGAGCCTTTGACACCACACTGAGTAAAATATGGAGGTCAACTGTATCAAAAGTTTTAAATTCATTTTTGTCCAAATTTTCAGGTGATTTTGAGACATTTTTGACATGAAAACATCTGTAAATGTCCTGATGTCCTGTTTGTGGACATGTTGTTGTGTGAACCCTGAACTTACCACCTGGTGTCTCTGAGTTGTCTTGAAGAATGTCTCTTTGTCTTCACTCCCCAGAAACCTGCAGAGGACAAACATGAAGAAACCAGAATGAAGACACTGTCCTCATGTGGACAACAGCTGAAGACAAACATCTGACACACCTGTCCAGCTTACTGGTCCTGAACTGGCAGGTGTAGTAGTCCAGTGGGGGGTTGGGGACATCCTGGGACAGAGGATTTGGAAGGGACAGTTTGGACAGTACCTGTTCGGACCAGTTAACCAGAGGAGCAGGGACCACCTGCAGAGGGACCCTGAGACAGATCTCTTCAGCGTAGTAACACAGGACGGTCCACGGAGCGCTGAGGAGGACGAAGCAGGTCCTGGTCTTCAGGTGAAGGACTTCCCTCTGAGGACACAAAGACACTTCATCATCACCTGCTGAACTGTACCTGTTTTCTTTCTTACACTGAACACCTGCTCAACGTTCTGTGACAGCACACCTGTCTGTCTCCAAACATCTCTGTGTCACGTTTGTTTAGACAAAGAGCAGGTGTTTCCCTCAGGTGTTGACTTTACCTGAGAATCTGATTCTTCCATGTTTCCTGTTTTTATCCAGGTGAACAAGGTGAGAATTTTCTGCTCACCTGCTCCTGCAGGAGTCCCACATGTTTCAGTCTGTTCAGAAACTCTTCCCTCCACATCCTGTGGGCGGGGCTAACACCTGAGCTGTCTTCCTGTGAGCTCTGAGGCTCCTCCCACACCAACACAAAATCTGACCAGTAAGAAAGCAGGATTTAAACTTACGTGAATGAAAATGATCCAGATTAATCTTAAACCTTTTAATTGCTGTAATTAATTTAATCCAGACTGATCTCTAAGCATCTTTCAACAATGAAAACATTTTTAAACAAATATTTTTACTCAGAAACAGATTTTTAATAAACACTGATGTATTTTTAGGAGATGATCATTAATATTATAAACATTAAACTGTTAGAGTAAATTCTATGAGAAATGTCAAAAAGTCCAGTTGTCTCACCAACTGGAGTTTTTCCATCACTGAACACGTTTCTGTCTGATGACGAGACCAGTGCATTCTGGGAAACAAACACAAATAGAAAAGTTAGACCTAAAACAACAAAGTGAACTTGTTTTCAGTCGTTCGGTCTGTTTTCTGCTTGAATGAAACGTTAAGWTTTGATGAAGCCAGCAGGACTTCCTTTGTTCACGGCTCTGCTTCTTGACTTTGTGGCGTTAATCAGAGCAGATTACTTTCTTCCTGTCATTTTGTGTTTCTGTTGTTTCACACCGGGCTGATGATTAACGACACACAAACAGGACAAACGTCAGCTGATGTGGAGCCAACCATGTTCCTTTACATCTCATCACACACACTTCCTGTTTCCTGTTGCAGCCACAGGAAGTCAAGCATCTGAACTAAAACTCTGGAGTCTTGTTTCAGTATTTCATGGAGCTATGCTAACACTAAGCTAACATCAAGCTAACAATATGCTAACACTCTGTTAACAATACGCTAACAATACGCTAACAATATGCTAACACTAAGCTAACACTATGTTAACAATACGCTAACACTAAGCTAACACTATGTTAACAATATGCTAACACTAAGCTAACACTATGCTAACACTATGTTAACAATATGCTAACACTAAGCTAACACTAAGCTAACACTAAGCTAACACTATGTTAACAATATGCTAACAATACGCTAACAATACGCTAACACTAAGCTAACACTATGTTAACAATATGCTAACACTAAGCTAACACTATGCTAACACTAAGCTAACACTATGCTAACAATATGCTAACACTAAGCTAACACTATGCTAACACTAAGCTAACACTATGCTAACACTATGTTAACTCTATGTTAACAATACGCTAACAATAAGCTAACACTAAGCTAACACTATGTTAACAATATGCTAACACTAAGCTAACACTATGCTAACAATACGCTAACAATATGCTGACAATCTGCTAACAATTTCTCTATTTTTCCTCTCTTCCAGTGAAACATTCCCTGACCTTCACCTCTGTCTTGTGGAAGATAAAAACCATTTTAAATCCAGATCAAATCATTTAAATGTTTCATTTTTCATTCTTTTAATGACATTTATAAAAACTCATTTTCATTGTAGCATGAATAACAAATACAATCAGCCCTGATGATGGCTGTGAGATTACATCAGAGTCTGAACAATGAGTTTGTTTTTACAGAGGGTGGACCAGAACCAGTTTCTGGTCTTTGTTCACACAAAGCTGGGATTAGAGTTAAGACGATGATGAGTTAAGACGATGATGAAGAGTTGAGACGAAGAGTTGAGACGAAGAGTTGAGACGAAGAGTTGAGACGAAGAGTTGAGACGAAGAGTTGAGACGATGATGAAGAGTTGAGACGATGATGAAGAGTTGAGACGATGATGAAGAGTTGAGACGATGATGAAGAGTTGAGACGATGATGAAGAGTTGAGACGATGATGTAGAGTTGAGACGATGATG